ACGCCATCCCTGTTGATGTAGCCTAGGATTACATTGACATTTTTGGCAGCTGCAGCAAACTGCTGACTCATACTGGTCCACCAGGACACCAGATCCTTCTCACATGCACTACTGTTGAGCCAAGTACCCATCCTGTATTTGTGCATACTTTTCTCACCACTGAACTGTATCTTGTTCAATAGGGCCCAATGCTAAACCTGTCAAGATTCTTCTGAGTCTTGAGACTATCTTCCAAAGTGTTAGCAATTCCCCCTCAGCTTTGTGTTATCCACAAATTTGGTTAACACCTTGTCAATACCCCCACCTAGGTCATTTACGAAAATATTGAAGAACACTGGGCCTAAGACAAGAATTTTGAGGTAACCCAGGGTATGCTTTATTCCATGTAGATGTAGTTTCATTGAGGTGAGATCGGTAGGTCAGCCAACTTCAGGTCTATCTGGTGATGGTACTATCTATCCCACATTGTCCTATCTTACCAAAAGTAGGCTGGGGACAACCTTATTAAATACCTTAATAATATTATATATCCAATTTTCAAATGACCTCTCCCAGCAACTTCCCATAGATGCTATATAAAATGATGCCTACATAGTTTTAAGGGGGCTTTTTTGCACCAGAAATTCTGAAACAAAACAATCAAAATTTCAAACGTATATTCATTAGTAAAAGAAATAAAGTTACACTGAATTTCACTAGCAATTCATTTTGGCTTGGTCTTTGAGATGTGTGCCAGGGCTAACAAAAAATACTGAGTGATGACAGAATAGAATAAACCTAATTTTACTTCACCTACAGTTAAACCTCATTAACAGTAAATTAAGATTATCATTTTCCAGTCATACATTTTTACTTCAACACCATTAACATCTCCATTCTTGTAACATCTTTGGGATGTCTCTGAGGAAATCACTTAAGCCTTTTGTGAGGCACAGATGGGTCAGGGACCACATATTATGTAAATCTGCTTTATATAAATTTATATTAAGTTTTTGTGGTACATATGATTCGGAAGGTTCTAACACTAAGACAAACAGCATACAGTATCTCATTTGAAGGCCAAGTTCAAAGAATAAATAGCTTCATATATTCTGATCTTGATGAATAAATATCACCTCTAGTTGCAGGTATTCTGTGTTCACCTATTTTAGGTGAATAGTGTGAAAAACATAATAGTAATTATCCAGTAATTTAATATGTACTCTACAAATAGTGACTTCTTCCAGTAAATAGTACCAATGCAATAGTTGAGCTTCTTTTCAATAACTGGAGGATGCCACAGAAAATGTGCTTACCCTAACAATCAAACTCTTCCAGGATTACAACACTCAGAACCAAGCTAAGTCACTCCTTCCCTGTATGAAGGTCTTTGACTGCTGCTAGAAACCCTCTGAGTTTTTTGATAGAGTTGCTGCTTGCCTCCATTCTTTAATCACTGAACAATTAATAAGTGAACTTTTCAAATTCAGCTTGGAGATCTGCATATGGGGATAAATCGTCATTTGAAAGCAAAAGGGAAAAAAAGGCCACCCTGGCCACATGCTATGACGAAATAGGAGATTACCTGCACTTCACTAAAGCAAATAAGATTCCCAATACTAGGTGACTCGGATGGGCAACCATTTCATAACAACTATATCTGCTTTGGAAAACTAAAGTGCTATTATCATCCATTCAATTACAGCTTGAACTGAGCTGGGCTTAAGTAGTAGAGATTTTGTGATGATGTGTGAGTGGTATTTCGCTTTTATATATATAGATATGAGAGGTATTCTATATTGGTTATTATAGATATTACATTTAGATTATAAGAACTTGCAAAAATAGGCTTTTAGTATTTCTTGTGACAGTGAAGGTACAGACATGATCCCTAACCTTCAAATTGTTAATTGCAAATGGTTACTAAACACAGCAGTTGCTAAATGAGGACTACTGTACCTGTATTCACTACAACCTGAAGAATAGAAATTTTTTTTGAAATAACAAATTATGCCTTTCTTTTCTTCCATATTCATTCAAGGGATTTATATCACAACTTTTTTTCTGTAGGATAAGACATATTATGAAAGAGTAATAGGTCTTCGTGACAGGCAAGATATTTTTAATTTTATTTATTTATTCAGAAAAATTATGTTACTTCCTATCTTAAATAAATTACCCTTGGTGACTTCTTATCCAAGAATTTAATCTACATATGTAGCTCCACAAAAGAAAGAAAGAAAAAAAGAAAGAAAAAAAGAAAGAAAGGAAAGAAAGAAAGTAAGTAAGAAAGAAAGAAAAAAAAAGAAAGAATCTCATACAAGTCCTTCTCTGATCTAGGGATTCCCTACATTATGGACTTCAAAACCAATAATTTTTAGCAAAGTTTTATTGCTTGGAATTTTGAAAGATGAAGATTACAAATCTAAGAAGTCTGCTTTATATTTTGCTTTCAAACCTTAGTTTTTTAAATTAACCATGTTAAAAGATGAGTTAAAAATTACAGTCCTATTCAGCATGTTGGCTTGGGAAAAACTGTCTGAGTAAGCCAGGATCCAGCTTGGCCAATTATATTTACATCAAACAGCATTCCTTTAATTACTAAGATTTTCAACAGAGCCTATTATGAACCAACACATTTTTTCCTTCCATTTTCCCCCACTAACATTTATGGCACAGCACAAGGCAGTAAATAGGGAAGTTCAAAATATTGCAATTATTCCTGTTTTTACTATTTTGAATGAATATAGTATATTCATCCAATTGATCACTGTAGATACTGGATCAAACTTCAAAAGTATGATATGTGGAGCCTTAGGAAGTTGTTCTGGAACTGTTTCAACTTTACATTTATTCTGGTTTTGTGCTATCTATGTATTAAGCAGAATCACAAAAAAGACAGAGGGTAATTGAATAAATCATAGGGAAAGCAACTGAAAGTGGAGCAACTGGATAAAAAATAAGTTTGATATCCCTCTTGTTTCTTAATGCAAGTGCTGGGAATACATCCCTTGTAGGAACTAAGTATTGGTATATTACCATGTGTGCCTCTTCGAGGCTTTTACCTGAAATTTCAAATAAACTATGGGCACAATTTAATTTGTAACAGGGAAACATCTGCATGAGCTCCTGATGTCTGCACACAAAAGTGCATCTAAGAAGGATGAGGAGTCCCTGAGATCCATGGGAAATGCCAACCTGGGAAAACATCACTTTAGCTAGCTCTTTTCTCAATAGGTTTCTTATGCTCTGGAGTGGTATATCTACACTGTGAAGGTTTGGATGACATGGGTGGAAAAGGAAAAATGGAAATGTAGTGGAATGAACAGCCAGTTCTGTTTTCACAGTGACCAATCCAATGCTTTTAGGAAGGCCACAGGTGAGTCTGGAAGGGAACTATAGATCCATACTGAAAGCTTCCAATTACTGTAATGAAGTGACAACTCCATCTCTAACTTCAAGGTTCAAATTAATCATAGTAATTGTTTGTATAATTATTGATCATTTATTCTTTGTAGCTAAAATACAAAAATTGCACAGAGATATAAAAATTCCAAAGGTTTTCCAAAAAGAAAAAGTAGAAAGAGAGAAACCCAATCTAACCATTATTACTTAATAATGGTTAGATTAATAGTATAATTAATACTGAAGATGCTCTAACTATTGATGGGGGCAAAATCTAATTGGAATATATTGGGGGAAAAAATCACAGCTGACTGACTGCTGTCATAAACAGGCACACTTATAAACTGTCACCTATTAAATATAAGCCCTGGGCAATTCTTCTTTGTAAATGTGTCTAATTTAATTACAAAATGGAGTTTATATTTTGGTCAACAGAGGGATGTTATATTTTTATATCCACATGCTATATCAATATCCCCCCAAAGCATACATTATTATTTTTGTAGTTGAAAGCAACCCAATAGTTTCGCAGCATTCCTTCAGCATGTCCATCTGTAAATAATTTGAGATATAACATGAAATTTACACGACATACAACAAAGTCAGTTGTTAAAGCACCATGCTACAAATGGGAAGACCTATCTGGTTTAATTCTGCCTTAAATACAAACTCAGGTGCATTACCTGGGGTTGGTCCCTTCTCAGCCCTACAAAGAAAGCAATGAGGAACCACTTGTAAAACCTTACTAATAAAACTGTAGGAACTAGTCTAAGCAGTCACCATGATTTAATTTGGTGTCTCGAAGGCAGCAAAAACAGCATAAAAACCTACTACATATTAATTCACTCAATCACTGTCAAAAGAAAACTGTACAATTGGGGCATCTTAAAAGCCAATTACACCTGCTAAATGCAGTTATTATAAAGACTCATCAGTACAGATAACATCACTGCTTGTTCTTTTGTGATACGATTTGTCATGAAAAAATGTTTTTAAATGATTGTGTGGGAGGAAATGAGCACTTGCTGAGATAATTTTTTGATAAGAGTGATACCTTTGGGTATTTAACTCATGTCTATGTGAGAAAGAACATTGCTAATTGTGTTGCCATTTAGAAGGATGAGAAACTGAGATATTCAAGAATATGCAAGATTAAAGTGGGCAAAAGCCAGTATGAACTCCATAACATGTTTAGAGATTCTTAAAAGATATGTTATAAAATTGAAAATACAGCAAACTAGTGGGAAAAGCATGAAGGAAGGGTAACTTGTTTATTGCTCTCGGTACTGTGTGGAATAAATTTGGCTTTCCTTAGTGAAGTTCACACATATGTGCCCTATGGAAAGAAATCTGTCAAGTTTCTAAAAAACTTGTGACTTTGAGAAGCACATTTTAGTCACAGGTATTTACTTCTAAGCCATTTCACAAGCTACATGTACAAATATACCAGCTATACAAGCTTTACCTTCCAGCACTGATGTTGATCAGGGAAAACATATACACGCTTAGTCCTTCTCTTGTGAATGGTAGTTATTTTCTGAGCTGGAAAAGTAAAAGAGCCAAACAGTGTAAGGCAGAGAAAGTGCAGAAGCGTTTGGACGGTTTTCCTCACTTACCTACAGTAGAAAAAACGGTGCCTACAAAATAAAAGGACCCCACTAAGTCCCAGTGGGGCCGAGTCACGTTGATCCGGATACCAAGCCGATAGGCGGCCTCGTACTCAAACAGAAAACCCCTCAGCTCCGCCAAAGGCAGGTTGTACTTCTGGGAGAAGTTTTCAATTTTTATCTGCCACTTCTGAAAGGCTTCCACCTCGGAGGGGTGCTCTATAACGGTGAAGATGGCAGCTCCGCAAATCATGTACAGAACTGTCAGAACGGCCAGGAGCAGTAACCGGGTGGTGTCTTCGGTGAGGCGAAAACTGGGCGAAGAACAGGAGCAGAGACCGCGACAAGCCATCCCTCTCTCTGCCCGCCCGGAGGTCCGCCCTATTCCCAGCTCCCTTCAACGGCTCATTCTCCTCGCGCCCCCTCGAGGCAGACGGCAGCGGAGTCCGTGGCGGCGGGTAGGGTTCCGCAGCTCCCGAAGCGGGCAGATACAAGCCCAGGCGCCCTTCCAAGTATTTCCCAGGCTCAAGAAGGGGCAAGAGGGCAAAGCGCGGACCACAATGCCGCTCCCCCCTACGGCCAAGTCCCACAGAGGATAGAGGCAGCCTCGTCTCCACAGAGCGCGGAGCAGCTTCCTTCGCTGGATGTCCGAACCGTCCACCTGTCGATGAGACTCGGGCTCCTAGATGTTCTCCTAGGAAGCAGCGGGCAGGCTGGGTTTGAATCAAGTCCGATCTCAAGTCAGTCAGATCTCACAATTGGCGGGCGCCGGGTCAGGGCCTCAGCTTCCCCAAACGCCAGGTCGTTAAAAACACCCAAAGCGCGCCCTTTCCCACGTGCGGTACGACTTCTCTTCGCCAGGAAATCAATGCGGTCCGCAAAGGGGCCGTTTCCCCCCCCTCCGGACCCTTCGGACAACCGCACGGGAAAAACCAAGACTGGGCAGGGCGTTAAAATGCTCCCGATTTGCTCCCAAACCTGTCGAAGAGAGTCAAGAGCGCGGGTCTTTTGCTTCCTGCGTAGTGGGCGCCCGCGCCTCCGCCTCCGCCTCTACACAAGCTGCTTCTTCAAGGAAACACGTTGAGATCCTTGAGGCGAGCCTGGCTGTGGCGTTTGGCGGGAGGAGAGCTTCGGAAGTGCGGATTCGAATTTACTGGAAGGTTGTGGTTGATCGGGCTGTGTCGTTCCGGGGAACCTGGGCGAGATAATCTGGAAGTGGGGCTGCCCTAAGGTATTTAGGGCTACAAGCACGTGAAATGAATTCCCAAGGTCCCGTTTACGCCCGCGCTGTCGGTAATAGGTAAATCCTTATTGTTCAGAAACGAACAGTCCTGTTTGTGAAGAGTAGATAGTCCTCGAGTTACTACCACAATGGAGCCCAAAATTTATGTTGCTAAGTGAAACGTTTGTTAAGTGAGTTTGCCCCTCTTTCCAGAGTCGCTCAATGAATTTATTTATTTATTGGTTTGATTTATATGCCGCCCTTTTCCGGAGATTCAGGGCGGCTTACAATACCTTAAGCAATAGCCTTCATACTTCTGTATATACCTGCTTAGTAGGGCTTTGGGCCCCGCCCCCCAAGTGGTGTTCTTTTTTATACAAAGTCAGCTTATTGCCCCCACAAACCGAGTCCTCATTTTACCTACCTCGAAAGGATGGAAGGCTGAATCAACCTTGAGCCTGGTGAGATTTGAACTTGCAGTAATTGCAGGCAGCTGGTGCTACTTAACAGTGCTTTAGTCTGTTGCGCCACCAAGGCTCTTCGTTAGTAACTGTGGTTGTTAAGTGAATCTGGATTTCCCATTGATTTTGAAATACTCCAAAATGTTTTATTTCAAGCTCTTGTTTTGTGCTTGGAACAGTAGTTCCTACTCAAATAGAATAACAGAATTGGATGGGACCTTGGAGGTCTTCTAGTCCAGCCCCCTGCTTAGTCCAACCCTACACCATTTCAGACAAATGGTTATCTAATCTCTTGTTAAAAACTTCCAGTTTTGGAGCATTTACAACTCCTGGAGGCAAGTTGTTCCACTGATTGTTCTGTCAGGAAATTTCTCCTTAGTTCTAAGTTGCTTCTGTCCTTGATTAGTTTCCACCCATTGCTTCTTGTCCTACCCTCAGATGCTTTGGAGAATAGTTTGACTCCCTCTTCTTTTGGCACCCCCTGAGATATTGGAACACTGCTATGTCACCCCTAGTCCTTCTTTTCATGTCCTCATATTTTGCTTGTCAGATCGCAAAAGCGAATCACACATGATCTTAGGACACTGCAGCTGTCATAAATATGAACTAGTTGCCAAGAATCTGAATTTTGATCATGGGGATGTTGCAACAGTCGTAAATGTGAAGAACGGTCATAAGTATCTTCTTTCAGTGCCGTTGTAACTTTGAATGGTCCCTAAATGAACTGTTGTAAATCGAGGACTACCTGTATCTGCAGAGGTGCTAGGCATGCTTTATCTTTGCAAGGAACCTAAGTTAAAAAAGGGAACATGCCAGGTGTCTAAAGTCTCCTTGCTTTAGTCTTGAATTTTCTGGTTTTACCAAATTTGACTTGAATGGTTCTTGCTCTATTATTGGCTTGTCTCCCCAAATAATTCACAAACACATTAATATTAAAATATACCAATGTTCCAATGAAGATTGAAAAAGCAGGATAGGAAGCATATAGATGCATTTGAAATTGATTTAGAAGACTCCTGAAAATATTGTGGGTGGCCAAGAAAACAAATAAATAGATCATTGAGTAAATCAATCCAAAGTTCTTTATTGAGGCACAATAGGTTCAAATTATCCTATTCTGGATAGATTGTGTGAAGACCTAGTGTGAAGAATGTAAAGGAAAACTGGAAGGAAAAAGAAGACAACCAGCGCTATGGTGATAGACTCAGTTACAGCCTTTGAATGGAAACCAACAATTCAGTTTTATAAGCAATAAAAAAATAAAATGAAAGGATTAGTTTTATATCTATATGACCCATGACATTCTTATGAATTGTAGAATGAACTGGAATCCCCATCAAATCCTGGTTGCTATAGCATATCATTATCTCTGCTCATGATACTTTATAGTTTTAATTATGACTATATATTTACTGCTTTTTCTTTTTAATTCTCTGTTGTACTCTGCCCAGATGCATGTTTTTGGCTCACAATAAATATATAAATAAATATTGAAATTTTGAGAATTTATAGAGCTAGTAAAAGAATACAAAATATATGATTTCAAAAATCAGTGAAACAAGTTTTTGTTTTCTAATTAGAATGTCTGATATTTTTATATCATTGCAATAGCACCAAATTATGTTTTATACTATATGCTTATAACAATATACAGTTTTTGAGAAAGATAAAGGCAAAATAAAGACATTGCAGAAATTATACAAAAGTATCACATGAATATTTGCAAAAAAAGAAAAATATAATTTCATTTTTAATTGCTAACAGCTGGGTAGTTTATTTCAATTGTTTGTAAACATTCTCTTTTATCATGTTCAGAATTTTACAAAACTCTCCCTAAAAAAATTAAAGTTATTCTGGCTAAAAAAAGACAACTATCTGACATGGCCATTTCAAAATTTTCTAATTTACAGGTAGACCTTGTTTAGCAATTGCCTCATTTAATGACCATACAGTTATGACAGTGATGAAAAATATTCTGTTAGAAATGAAAGAACTTTATGATCATCGTATTTATGACTTGGCAGGTCTGTAAAAGCAAAGGAAAGATGAAGTAAAATCATAAGATTATTAGCTATTTCATTTAGTGACCACTTCGCTTAATGACTAAATTGCTAATCCCAATTAAGGTCACTAAACAAGGACCATCTACATATATGTAATTTCAAAAGTATGATTTATCATGAGATTTAGTACGGCTAATCTTCAAAGCAGTTATTTTTTTAAAAAATGTTGTTAGTAATAATAACCCAAAATCTTTTATTTTATTCAAAGAATTTTTTCAAGTGTACAGATATATAATAAAATGTACAGATATAAAGCATAAAATCTGACAAATATTCAAATGATTCTGAATAAAGATTCAGAATTACTTTAAACTATTCATTTTGGAACCCACATATTGCCATGTGTATCAGGAGCTTTGATATAAGGAATATTCCAAATCCATGGGCGGTCTGCAAAGCAAATGAAAAGGACAGACTTATATCACAGTCGAAGATGAACTGAGAAAAAATAAATTAGATTTCCTCTTCCTAAAGTTCTTTCTATTAAAGCTAGCCATTTAAAATTTAACCATTTTCCAACCAACCAGTTAATCTTAAATAATCCAGTACTGCTACTTTGAAACTATGGAAATGTTTAATAATAAGTTTTACTTGAAATATAATTAGCTTTTAAACTTACTGCTTCATAACACAAAATCAACTATTTAAAACCATCTTTAAGTAGTGAGCAATGTTATATATTCAATAACCCTAAAAGCAATGAGAGAATCAAAGGTTTTTTGGTTATATTTGGTCTTAAATGGAGTTGCACTTCAAAAGTGGCATGCAATATGGGATCCATCTGGACTCACAGCTCACAGGCAGCAGATGACAGCTGTGACCAAGAGGGCCTTTGCATACATCTAGCATTACCAGTTGGATCCTTTTCTGGACTGGGAGGCCCTTCAAACAGTCACGTCATGAACAGATTAACAAATGTGCTCAACACAGGCTTGTCCTTGAAGATGACTGGGAGTTTATACTGGTTCAAAATGAAGAGTTGCAGGCAATGATGGGCATACTTCATTAGATTTATGTGACTCCATTATTTTGTAAGCAGCACTGATGTTTGGCTTCTAGGTGCAATTTGAAATGCTGGTTATCGCCTATGAAGATGTTCAGGACATCGATCCTGGTTATTTGAACTTCCTCTCTTTGTGTCTATCTGCTAAGATCTGCTAGAGTAGGCACATTTTGGATCTTATTGGTTAAGCAGTAAGAGTCAGGAAATATGCCTTTTCAGCTGCAGCCCCTGCCCTTTGGACCAATATTCTTCCAGAGATCCAAATGGCTCCTACCCTGATGATTTTCAGAAAGATATTAAATATATGACCATTCTCCCACCTCTTGGGCAGGATAAATTTTTTAGCATCTGTTGGATGGTTTTGTTCATTTGCATGTTTGTGTTCAGGATGTTTGGGATTTCTTTCTTTTCTGTATTTTTGCACTTTTCTCATTTTTAAACTGTAAATCATCAGAAATGTTGAGATTGGAGGGGCTCTAAATTGTATATAGGTATATATCTATAAAGAATGATAATAAGTCTGCCATAGGATACATTAATATAAACCTTTGACCCTGTGTGAGACTTCGCTTATTTAGAAAACAGAAATGTGATGAATAAGAGGAATGTCTGTATTAAAACTTTTGAAAATAATGTTCCAAAGATCCTAAAGGATCTTCCATTTTCATTTATTAGCTTTTAAAGCCCATCAATTCTATTGCACTCAATGACATTTTAAATGCCATTTAATTGGAAAGAAACTAAAAAATAAGCCTACTGTTTGTTAGACCCAGGAGGAGCTGCAGTTCAATAACAGGAGCAAATTTGTGCACTGAATGTAGTAACAGGATGCTGATTGTTGATTTGCAAGAGAATGATAGTACAAGTACAAGTGAAATGTGGTATTTTCAATTGCAGCACCATTACACAAATTAATAACAACAACTGATAATCTTAACACTTGAAGCAGCATTCTGTATTTATTCAAGCTATATCTCATCTTTATTCCAAAAAGTTCGTAACAACACAGTGGCAAAGAGGTAATGTACAAAAGTTTCAGGGTTCAGCTGGATTTGAAAACAGTCTTATAACAATTGTAATTTAAGCAGCTGTCATATGGAGTATTTAGTTAAGAAATGTATTCAGGAATTCCTTCACAAAATTCTACCTACTTGTCTGTTTTGGCCTTTCTAAATCCTCTTTTCCCAGTAATCTACAACTGCATGTTCTTTATTATTTTAAATGGTTTTCATTCATTCAAGTGGATTAATTTTACTTATAAAAAATAATTATATAGAAGGAGAATGCCTTACCTTTGTTTTCATACTTTTCAGGGGGCAGATCATAAGGAACAGGAAATGACAATACTGATGTATTAGCAAACATGTTTTCCTTTACTTGGAAATACTCTGTATTCAAGCCCTAAAAAAAAGAATATTGCATTGAACTAAAATTCAAAAACTAATACAGTAATATGGTGCTGTTAGTAACAAGCTGCCAGTGTGTCTATTAGGTAGGTAGTCTAAATAGCAACTATAATCAAATATTTAATGTATAAGCAATCTGCCACAATTAAAAGCAGATAAACTATTACTCAGTAATTATTTTCTTTAAACTAAGCAAGACCTCAAAAAACCAACTTACCTTTCTTAATTTGAAATGAAGAAATGTTCTACATCATACTGTAGGTTAATTCCATTAAATAATGAATGTAGAGTGGCTTTCAAGACTGAAAATTGTGTATATTATGTTCACATTTAAAATACCATTAAGGAAACACTGAATTCTTGGAGAATAAATATAATCTCAACAGAGATACAGTTGATACCCATGCTGGTCATATTTAAAAAAGCTTTTAAAATCTAGATATCTCTCCAAGGCTGGGATGATGGGTCCTGCATGTTTGACTAGTTTTTACTGGTTGATTTTCTTCCAGATTTGGGTTTTTTAAAAGTTATATTTTATGACCTTCTTTTAATACATACTATCCTAAGTGGTTGTCTTATGTTTTTCTAAATAACCAAGAAAATATTTAATATCAAATGTTTTACTCGCATGTAATACCATATATAGACCTGTTGCACCCCACAAATAATAGAAGTACATATTAAGAAAAGCTATCAGGCAAAAAAGGAGCTTTATATTCTATCCAGGAACTGAAAAGATTAAAGAAGGAATAGGCAACCTGCCTTGCTTAAGACATTTTAACACAGCTTGTAACATTCACTATCATTATTGTCTGTATCAAGGAATTCTGAGAATTATAATCAAAATCTTTGGAAAGCATCAAATTGTTGCTTGGGATTGTATAAGCTTCCATAAAATAAATATAAAGGTTCATTTCCATGATCACAGTTAATGACAATTCCCAAGAGAAGGGATAGAGACAGCACAGTATTGGATAGACTATATGCTACTGGACAAGAAAATGCAACTGGGAATATTTTCACATCTGGAGCATCCCGTGTTGTATAATCAATTTGCAAGCAAATTTCTGCAACATATCATTTTATCATTTTTGCTTCATCCATCTTTGTCTTCTCAAATAAAAGGCTGAAAGCTTGTGTCTGTAATGACACCACTGGACATTTGATTACAGCCCTCAAAGCACCCACAATTTATTTTTAAGACTGAAGTGTAGTTACTCCAGAAAAGAAGTATCCTGCTGAATAAAGGATGAAGAGTGATTAGATGACTGGGAGAAATGAATAAATTGGTGATTCAGATAAGTCTCCTTTCCTAGCATTAAAGTATAATGTAGTCTTGCAACTTAATACAGCCATTAAATGAGCCTACATAATATTGGGTAACTAATAATTTTCTTTGGAACTGAGCTACACATAGAAAAACACTTTTCTTTTTACTTTCTTATGCAAATACATTCTTGAGCAGTGGATAAAAAAAAGCAAATTGGCTCGGTTTGCATTCATTGCAACTGGGTGTAGGATTAAAATTCAGAACTTACAAACTCTGAAGGCAGGAACAGAACTCCTAGTTCATATGATCGGATCATCAGCTGGGTGCCATTTTTCTCAAAAGCTCCCCAAGCAGCCTTGGAAAGATTGGCACTAAACAGGCATAAACAAAAAGGAGAAGAAAAAACTTCTGTTTGTGCACAGAATGCAAGAATTTGGAGAAAAAATAGGGGGAAAAACTCATATAGGCGGTCCTTGACTTAAGACCATTTGTTTCGAACTGAAAGAAGGGACTCACAACCTGTGCCTGAAATTATGGCTATTGTAGCAAATTTTGTGATCAAAATTTGGGCGCTTGGCAGTCTACTTGCATTTATGATCACAAGGATGCTTCAACTCCCTCAACCACAGTGGCATTCCTTGATGATAGAGACAGTGCTGGGATAGAACTAGAGGCCTGGGACCTTCAGCAGCTGCCACTTCTGTTTCAGTCTCAGTGCAGCCTCTATTAGTAACCACATCATGGCCAGCCACCTCAGTGCAAATCCCTAGCCCCCCTCCACATTCTGCAGTCTGCTGTGCCCAGCTGATCTTCATATTCCTCCCATTGCTGACAAGGTGCACCCACTTGCAGGCTGTGCCAGCCCTTCTTCCCAGGCCTCTTGCATTGTTCTCCAAACTGTGCCTGACATTCTGAGCCAGATGCCAAGGAGAATTGTTGGGATTGTGGCCGCTAAGTGGTGCAGTCACATGACATCTTGCTTTATGACTGCATGACTCAGTGATGAAAATTCCAGTCCCAATTATAAGCCGAGGACTACCTGTAAAAGACTTACCTTGTCACTAGAAACCATGCAATCTTCTGGAAATCCAAGGAGACTCTCATGTAAGTTTTAATATGTGGCATTGCATGACTACGACCTGAAGTTTCAGCTGACCATTTGCTTGGGTTAAAACAAAAGAAAGGAGTCTTTTAGATTAAACCCAAGATAAGTTTTTAGATTCTAATTCCCAGGATGTGATATCCATAGCCAGAAGTATTTTATTCCTCCTTTTTAAAAACTGAATGTTACTTGAAATATTCTGATTTGGTGACTTCAAGGTGTAATGGTTAATAGCTTCTATCTACCCCAACTAAAAAGGTTATTCCTGATGGCAGGGATAATGGGAAACATAACACATTGGAAGAATCTGGTAATACAAATAAATATTCTAATAGTTGATAGAAAAGACAAGATGCTGTTTCAGTTATAGTTTGGGTCAATTTCCTGCCACCTGACAATACTCCAGTGTTCCAAGTAGCACTAGCACTAGCACCGGCACTTGGACTTATATACTGTTTCACAGTGCTTTATAGCTCTCTCTAAGCGGTTTACAGAATCAGCATATTGCCCCCAACAATCTGGGTCCTCATTTTATCCACCTTGGAAGGATGGAAGGGTGAGTCAACATTGAGCTGGTGAGAATTGAACTGCAGCCAGCAGAAGTAGCTTGCAGTACTGCATTCTAACCACTGCGCCACTACGGCTTATAAGTATATTGGGATTTAAACTCTGAGCAGAACTATTCCACTCAGCATGGAATAGTACCAGTTTGGGGAAGGCTGATTTAGCGATCCTTACCAATCACATGCAAAGTTGTAATCTACAACAATTCCAGTAATTATATTAATAGAAAGGATTAAATAGAAACATAGAAAATATTGTACTCATGTTTTTTAGCTTCTCTTTCTCAGTTTAGCTGTTCATACTTTACACCTAAAGCAATATTTTAATGTTGAGAAGTGTAACATACACGAATGAATATACATAATTCAATAGGGATACATATGAAAAAGAAAAAAAATGTAACTTTTACTGACATGTGCATTTGTTGGCATTTGATTTCTGGACATAATTACTTTTTTGTTCTGCTATGGCTAGATTAATTATATTCAACTTGCAGCTTTTCATAAACTTAGAGGGAAGAGAAAAATAACTAATCTTTTCTATTATGGGTTGGTTTGAAATATGAGATGTCAGGTTGCATTTTTGGAAAATTGATTGATTGGCATATAACTAAGCCATTTTAAAAGGCTAATAATTACAATACACCTGAAACTCAATTTATATAATCTCTGTTTCAATTTTTATGAAGAACATTCTAAGACAAATCTAATACTAATATCTTTCTAAAACATTTTAGAAAGGCACAGTAAGTGTTTGTTTTAAAGGTTTGATTATATCTTTATTTTAAAACATAATTAACCTAATTAACCATAAAGGCAACATTTTTACTTACTGGAAATAAGAGTGTAGCCAAGGCTGCTTTTGTGCAGTTTGTATACTATATGGCAGAGAACCTCCAGCTAAAAAAGAAAGAAAAGGTTAACTATTTAATTTTGACATGTGGTCTTACAACTTTATTATCCAAGGCAGGAATATATATATTTTACCTGGATAACCTTCTAAACTCTGTCTCACATTTTCGACACTTGGATAAATCTAAACAAATAAAAGCAAATGTAATACCAGGTAGTTATAACAAATGCATTATGCATGTTATACAATTTACCAATCATCAAAATACTGCCAAGTAACAGAGCATGAGTATATACCAGTCAAGTTTGATACTGCTATTGGTTTGCTGAAAGCTCATCTGTTATGTTTTTCTGAGATTCGGCTACCATTTTCTTTTTAAAAAAATCTAACATAGAGACTAGCTTCTGGACACTTTTATGTTTATTCAAAACATGACTAAATCAGGGTGCCTGCTTTGACAAAGATTGGTTGAATCAAATACACATTTTGAAATCTGAATACTTAAAAAAGCAAAGCAGAGATTTTGTGATGAACAATGTATTTTCAATACAGATGAGCAACCAACAGATCCAGACTATATTCTTAAAATTTGATGGCAAAATAGCTGATTTTTTTGTAGTGCCAATATTTGCTCTTCATACATTTATTTCTCTATAGCAACTGTTCAGGAAGCTGGTTTCATATGTTAGGATTTTCTCCCCGTTTTAAGGGTGGAGATAGGAACAAGAACTCCCATATATATATATCAGTGTGTGTGGGCAGGTGCATTTTAACAGTAATATATTCTGTAAATAAATGTCCCACTAGCAGATGCTCTGCTGTTCTAACTTTATAAAACTTTATAAAACACTATAAATACACACACAGACACACAGACACTCTCTCACACATGTCCAGACCCGCATATATGTATGTATCAAGCGGCCAATACCAGATGGATAGGAATTTCATTTGGAGGAGTCTTCAAATTGCTTCCTAAACTCCCCAAACTTTCTCTAAATTCTGAACACAGCCATTTGGACTGATCAACTCCCATTGATCCAATACTTGAGAATTGTCCTATTATAGGCCAAGAATCTTGATCAGGTATTTTTCTTGCATGTTCCTTCAGAAGCTGTTTGGGGTAAAAAACAGAAACAACACTAATAAAGTATTAACACTGTATCACTTTCAATTATTCAATTAAGTAGCAGATGAGACACAAATGATCATTTATGAAGACACTGCTCCTTAATTAGTTGCATATGTTCAATATTTTATCCAACAGTACAGACTGCAATTATTGCAGACATTTGTGCTGAAATCTTACTTTCCTGAATATCTTCCAGATACGTTAAGCTTTAACTCTTATATTAGTGAGCCAGCATTATGGCAGACGCAGGCTAACATATCCACTGTTATTAGTGGGAAAACCAGCATTCAATTTCTACATAAAACCAATTAAGTTTCCAGTCCCTTTGTAAACTGAAGGACAATGAATTGAAACCACCAATTGTTGCAGCAATCCAAATACACTTTTTTGGCATAAATTTCTGAATTACCTAACAATAACAACAACAATACAGGGTTGCCTAATTGGAACAATTCAAGATGGCATACAGCCTGTAAAAAACATTTATCAGTTGACTGACCATTATTTTTATCAAATTCTAACCTTGCCTGCAGAGACTGCAAAAGTAAGCCTAAATCTCTTATGAATCTGCTAATTAAATAATGTATAATGTAATGTACGTATAATGCTGGGAAAAATGAAAGGAACAGAAAAAAAGGACAAACAGCAGCAGAGTGAATGAATCCAATTATAGTGGTAGTGGGCTCACTGTTGAAACACCTGAAAGGTCAGTTGGGGACAGATCGTCCAATTCATTTATCAAATTTGTATAGTCATCTATTTCCCCAAAAGTGACTCTGGGTGGTGTACAACGATGGGATAAGAACCACACATAAAAATCTACAAATATAGAAACCTCAAAGTGCAAAAATACAAACTGGTCACTGCAGCAATGGAGCCATCTAAATGTATTTCTGGTCCCTTGGGAACCCCAGGCCTGATAAATGTAAACTGGTCTTGAGGGTCTTCTGGAATATAAAAAAGGAAGCAGCTAATCTAATTTTAGGGGAAATCATGTTTCATGTATTCGTAGCATGCAATGAAGGTCTTTAAAGGTTAAAACCAGCATCCTGAATTGCATTTTGAAACAAAATGGAAACCAATGCAGTTTGCGGAGTAGGGGTGTAATGTGCTGTTCTAGGGATGCATATAACAGCTAGCACCTCTGGATTCTGAAGCTTTTCAATATTTTTGGAAAGCAGGCCACCAAGGATTTCATTGAGTAAGTATAACTATCTTTTGAATTTTAGTTCACCAGATTCTCAATCAATCCTGATCATCCAAATTTATATGGAATGAGAGTTTAATAACATGTCAATACATTGGTGATTCATCCAAAAATTGTTACTTATCTCCATTAAAGTCTTGGCAATTATTCAGCTTGGTATCAGTTGTATATCAGATTCTCATGCTCATGAAAAATTAACCTTATAAAAGAATTCAAGCTTAAAAATAAATGATGAGATGTTCTATTGGAATGTATGGATGGAATCTTGAACAATTATTTTAGAGCAATTCCTCTGTAATTATTATTTTATGATTTTTCTCAACTTCAGATGGAAGTTCTGTATTCCCCAATTCTCATGAATGGCAATATAATCAACTCAGTCATGTTTTAATATCTCAGCATGGACAAAATACTTTAACTGCTTCAAAGAAATCGGAGAAGCTATCTCTTCTGATGGAGTCCATTTATGAAACAAAGCATCAAGATATTCCATTTCACGTTTATTGAATTTGTGGAAGAATATATTTGAAAGGATATATGTTTTCTCGGTGACAATGTAAAAAAAATTATGGCAACATTAATACATATGATTTGGTCTTGTAAATTACTGGTATTTTTTAGAACAGCATTTGTATAGCCAGCTAGATAATTAAAGATGTTAATATTATATTGAATTATGTAGAATTTGATAATTTTTGAGGAATTGTTCATTGCTCACAAAATCATTTAGAAAAATTGGAAAAGTTATTCTAGATACTAAGGACTGAATTCAAGACGTATCATTAATCCACTTTTGAACATAGTTCTTGCACTAAAAATGATGCAATGCGTTTAGTTTGATACAGGATTCAAATTTTCCAGAATATGCTTTATTCTAATTTGAAATTTTCATGTTTGAAACTTGAAATATAAGTGACATGCCTAGATGGTTCATACTTTTCCACTTTTGTTTTGCTTTTTGTTGTTCTGCTTTTTATTTTTGTTTATATCTGTGTATTTTTTTTGTAACTTGAGAGTCGAAAATGCCTAACACTGAAACAAACTGGGTTTATGTGTGTATGATGTATTCTCTTAACAGTTTTTTAAAGTCTGAAGGTTATTCTATTAGAAAAGCTCCTAGCAATGAATTTTTCAACAATAACGAGTAACAAGATTACCTCTTCATAAGATTACCTCTTCACCACTCACATTCCCTCCTTGAGGGAGATGGGCGGTCTAGATGGACAGTTTAGAAACATGAAAGATAAAATAAATAAATAATTTTACAAATATTTACTTGGAAATATTCCAGCTCTTCCGTAGTTCTACAAATGTTTATCAGAAATACAGGAAAAATGACAGGCATAAACATCGAGTACCTTTCTCAGTTTAAGATGACCCCAATTTTCTTTTGCATTACCTTGGTATCGACCTGGAGTTGACCCAATAAGATATACTCTGCATAAAAATATAACCACATAATGTTTGGTGTTTTCCCAAACTGCATCAAAGTACATATATTACAGCATAATTATACAGCATACAATACAGTTTATTTTAAAGTAGTTGTTTTCCCAGACTACATTACTGCTTATTAAAAAACCTAGACACATCTTCACAAAAAGCTTCTACCCAGAGTCTAACTTAAATTGCTGAACATACGAACAAAATGCTTTTCAAAATAAATACTGACACTACCTTTAGTAACCAACTTACATAAATGCATCTTCAATGCCGTAACCTACTTCAATGAATTTTATCGTTTAAAAATTGTTTATATTGAAACACATTATTTTTATAACTATAATGAACACTGGAACACTGGAGAGAAATTGTTTAATGTAAGCATACATTGAATTATATACCTTGTCTCTGAAAGATCATGTTGCTTAATTATTTCAACCCACTCCATCAGACTAGCCGATTTATAAGATATCAAATAGCTGATGAGATCTGATTTAAAATTTGTATGAGATTCACCATCAGACTCAGCACTCCCAGGAGGCAATCTTGGATACAAAGGACTTAGCCATATTCTAAAATATTAAAAGGTAAAGCAATAAAATAGCATTAACAAATATTAAAAAGTTTAAAAAGAAGAAACACATTCACTTTGTTTTTTGCAAAGCAAAGTTAAACTCAGTTATGACATCCTTCATATTCTATCAAACTTGAGTTATGAACATTTACTGTGTCTTGAAATTATACAGATAGACCTTGATTTACAACCAGACATTTAATGCCCATTAGAAGTTACAATGGTTGCAGAAAGTGTTTTATTGCCTGTAAAGTCCTCTGGTCATTGTAAAATGTTCTTCTGCCTCCCTCCCACATCACGTGATTCTCCCTCCCATGTGATAATAATCTGGGTGATTAGCAATCTGTTTCCACTTTTGACCAATTGGCAATGCCCCATGATCATGTGATTGCCATTTGCAATTTTTTCTGATAGCTTCCCCAGAAAGTCTGTGGGGAAGCCAGTACAGATGGTTGCCAGCTGCTGCCACCTGCCAAGAGGGCTTCTTCTCATCTCTGTGGGCTGGCTGAAATTGCTACCTGCTGAGGGAAACTGAACTCCTTCAATGGAGTAAAGAAATGGAGCTCAGATCCTGATGATTTAAGCTCTATTCCTCCACCCCATCAAAAAAGTTCCCTTCCACACGTAGAGAAAAACTGACATCCTCCCACAGAGTGCAGAAACAGAGCTCAAATCTGCACCCCACGGAAAGAGCTCCCTTCAATGTACAGAAGAGAGCTGACATCCTTAGGGAGGCAGCTCTTTCAGCCAGCCCCTAAGTATAAGAGGGAACTGAAATCCAAGCACGATTTTCAGCTCCTGAGCAGAGTAGCAGCGTGGTAAGGTAAGGAGTGCAGAGTGCCTCAGATAGGCGAGGGAGGCCAGGTGCAGGCCCACACAAGTATCTCTTCACTTGGGATAAAAATCCTGCTTGGATTTTGGCAAGGAGGGTTTTCAGTTCCTGAGTGGAGTGTCCCAGAGTGTTCCCCTCCCATCCTGTGCTCCTTATCTGGGACTCCATCTATTTAACAATCTGTGTGTGTCTCCTTAACAACCACAACCTGGAGTGCCAGGATTGCATTCAATGAGCAAACCAGTCATGTGGGCAGTCATGTGACATTCTGCCTAACTCTCATTTTGCTCAGCGACCAAGATTCCGGCCCTGATAGTGGTAGTTAAATGAGGGCTGCCTATATTGTAAAAAAAAAAAAAAAAAGTATAAATATTCAAAGACACCTTAACAGGAATTATTATTCAGTATTTCTTCATTTCCTTCAATTATATAAAGGAAATGGCTTCTGTTATACTAATGGATCCCCAACCTCACAGGGGGGGACACACGCTGGACCTGATTTTTGTCTCTGGCCAGTGGTTGAGTGGTCTTATTATAGGGGATATAGACATGAAACCCTTGTCATGGTCAGATCACTCACTCCTTCGTCTGGACCTTCGAACCGCTACACCCCGCCGTAGGGAGGCGGACCCAATTAGATGGATCCGCCCCAGGCGCCTGATGGATCCTGATATGTTCCAGACCGAGCTTGGGCCAATTCCTGAAGATCTGGCACACGACTCGGCCGAGGACCTGGTAGCTGCCTGGGATCGGGCGGCTGGTGGGGCCTTGGATCGAGTCGTCCCTTTGCGGCCTCTGACCCGGTGTCGATCCCTCGCGGCTCCTTGGTTCACCGAGGAGCTGAGGGAGATGAAATGCTGGAAAAGACGCCTAGAGAGCGGTTGGAGGGCCAGTCTCGCTGAATCTGACCGAACACTGGTAAGGTCGCATATTAAGACCTACCTAGTGGCGATAAAGACGGCAAAGTTTAACTACTTTTCCGCCTCTATTGCGTCATCAGGGAATCGTCCGGCCGCCCTGTTCAGGGTAACCCGCTCCCTGCTCCATCTGGGAGCGCGGGAGGATCCCTTGGAAGGCAGGGCGGAGGATTTCGGACAATACCTGTATGACAAAATCGCTCAGATCCGGGGGGATTTGGACTCTGACTGGGTAGATCAGGGCAGGGTGACGAGGAATAGTCTTGAGAATGTTACCTGGGAGGAGTTTGATGCTGTGACTCCGGATGATGTGGACAGGATTTTGGGGAGACTTAGTGCGGCCACATGTTTACTGGACCCGTGTCCCTCCTGGTTGGTACTGGCCTCCCGGGAGGTTACACGAGGCTGGCTCCAGGGTGTTATCAACGCTTCGTTGAGTGAGGGTTACTTCCCCGCTGCCTTGAAAGAAGCGGTGGTGAGGCCTCTCCTCAAGAAGCCGTCCCTGGATCCGGCAATATTGGCCAACTATCGTCCTGTCTCCAACCTTCGCTTCCTGGTGAAGGTTGTTGAGAGTGTGGTTGCGCGACAGTTTCCACAATTCTTGGAGGAAACATCCTATCTAGATCCGTTCCAGTCGGGTTTCAGGCCTGGACACAGCACGGAAATGGCATTGGTCGCGTTGGTTGATGATCTCTGGAGGGCTCGGGACAGGGGTTGTTCCTCTGTTCTGGTCCTGTTAGACCTCTCAGCGGCTTTTGATACCATCGACCATGGTATCATGCTGCACCGGTTGGAAGAGTTGGGGATGGGGGGCACCGTATTACGGTGGTTCTCTTCCTTTCTCTCCGACCGGTCGCAGTTCGTGTTGGCAGGGGGGCAGAGGTCGACCTCAAGGCCTCTTATATGTGGAGTGCCTCAGGGGTCGGTCCTCTCGCCCCTCCTGTTCAACATTTATGTGAAGCCGCTGGGCGAGATCATCCGTGGCTTTGGGGTGAGATACCACCAGTACGCTGATGACACCCAGCTGTACATCTCCACCCCAGGCCACCCCAACGATGCCCTTGAAGTGATGTCCCAGTGCCTGGAGGCTGTGCGGATCTGGATGGGGAGGAACAGCTCAAGCTCAACCCTTCCAAGACTGAGTGGCTGTGGCTCCCGGCATCCCGATATAGTCAGTTGACTCCATCACTGACTATTGGGGGCAAGTCGTTGGCCCCCACAGAGAGGGCTCGCAATCTGGGAGTCCTCCTGGATAGGCAGCTGTCCTTGGAGGAACATCTGACGCTGTAACCAGGGGGACCTTTTGTCAGGTTCGCCTGATCCGCCAGTTGCGGCCCTTTCTTGATCGGGATTCCCTGTGCACAGTCACTCATGCCCTCGTCACCTCTCGCCTTGACTACTGCAACGCTCTCTACATGGGGCTCCCCTTGAGGAGCACCCAGAGGCTCCAACTGGTCCAGAATGCAGCAGCGCGGGTAGTGACGGGAGCAGCCTGGCGCTCCCATGTAACACCGCTCCTGCGCGAGCTGCACTGGCTCCCAGTGGTGTTCCGGGTGCGCTTCAAGGTGTTGGTTATCATCTTTAAAGCGCTCCATGGCATAGGGCCTAGCTATCTTCGAGACCGCCTGCTGCCACCGACGATCTCCCATCGACCCGTGCGCTCCCACAGAGAGGGCCTCCTCGGGGTGCCATCAGCCAAACAGTGCAGGCTGGTGACCCCCAGGGGGAGGGCCTTCTCTGTGGGGGCACCTACCCTCTGGAATCAATTGCCGCCAGAGATAAGGAGAATCCAAGACCTCAGCGCCTTCCGCCGTGCCCTTAAAACCTTCCTTTTCCAGCAAGCCGGGCTGGCCTAATTTTTAAAGTGTTTTTAAGTGTTTTGTTTATTGTTTTTAATTAATGGGGCCAAATTTATATATGTATATTTTAACTGTATTTTAATATTTGTACTTGATGTTTTTACTTGGCTGTTCACCGCCCTGAGTCCTCAGGGAGAAGGGCGGTATACAAATTCAAAATAAAATAAAAAATAAAAATAAAATAAAGCTATTTGCAAATATATCTGCGCTTTTTATAAACCTTTCCCCACCATGTTGAGTACTCTATCACTGCGTGAAGAAAGAAAAGGAAGTCTGTAAATGTGTTGCTCCCATGTAAGTATTAAAGAGGAAGAATAAGGAGCAAATGAAGATTCACAAAAACCCAGGTATCACTAAACAGAGCATGGCAAGAGTAGTAAGGTGCTTAATAATTTTTTAAGTTTCCTCATTCATAATTTATCTCTGTAAGGGAAAGACAGACATGTGGAGACTTAGAAGTTCAGGACAGTCTGACCCAAGCAACTTTCATTAAGTCAATCATAGGATATTAAAGCAACAGCCCTGAATTGTATTGTTTATACTGATGAATGAAATGGGGCATGTAGATGGCCAAATAGCTAGTATGTAGAAAATAGCCAAATATTTTCTGTCATTTTCTCTCTAAAAGCGAACATTCTATATTCAGGAAATACTCTTTATCCTGAATAAAAAGTTTTTTTTATCTTTCTGAGTTGTATGAGAAATAGAGCAAAGCACTACCTTCTCAATTGTAGACATCAATTATTTATTTTATTTATTTATTTATTTATTAAATTTATATACCGCCCTATTTCTAAGGGACTCAGGGCGGTGAACAGCGAACGATAAAAATACACGTAATACAAACGTTAATAAAAAATCAATTAAAATATACTAAACACTCTGGTCCTAGATAATTCAAGACATCCCAGTTTAAAATAAAATCAAAAAGCAATATAAAGGGAAAAGTTAGGCCAGGCCGGCCTGCTGAAACAGGAATGTTTTGAGGGCACGGCGGAAAGTGTGCAGATCCGGAATCTTCTGTATCTCTGGGGGGAGCTCGTTCCAGATGGTGGGTGCCCCCACAGAAAAGGCTCTCCCCCTGGGGGCCGCCAGTCAACACTGTTTGGCTGACGGCACCCTGAGAAGCCCCTCTCTATGGGAGCGTACTGGGCGGTGAGAGGCTATTGGTGGCAGAAGGCGGTCTCGTAAGTACCCCGGTCCTAAGCCATGGAGCGCTCTAAAGGTGGTAACTAAGACCTTGAAGCGCACCTGGAAGACCACAGGGAGCCAGTGCAGCTCACGCAGGAGGGGAGCCACATGGGAGCGCCATGCTGCTCCCATAACTACCCACGCGGCCACATTCTGGACCAGCTGGAGAATATATTTTTCTATGAGCTGTAGAGAACTCATAGAATCCAGCACCACCCTGGAAATTATGCAGTAATTTAATTAGATTCACTATAATTTCAGAAGTCATCTATATGATGCAAGACCATTTATTTTGAAATGCTTCTTTCTGGGTAACATTATTAAATATTGTTTATGATTCTTTAGTTGATAAAAAATAGGATTTATTACAGATACTGCTTTTTAAATCTGCAGGACCAGGAGATTTGCTGATATATTTTGAAATCAAACAAATCAAATCAGTAAAATCCAATAAGATATTGCATTTAAGATGTGGGGGCGGGAGCAAGACCAGGAAGACCCAGATGCACAACCACCCACAGTGAAAGTTCACTCGGTGATTTTGGCCAGTTGCTCTCTTTCAGTTCAGTTATGGGATTGCTTTTGTGGGAAAAACTGGAAGAAGTGGTATTATGTAAACTGCCTTGAACACTGGAAGAAATAACTAATATATAAACCAGAATGTGTCCTCTAAGAATAACCAATCCAATAATTGTTGTGAAGGCATTAACTGTGGCATGCAGTCATGGGCCAAAATATCAAATTATAATTTTTCTTACCCTTGTGTTTTCTGGTACCAATCATCATCAATAAGATTGGATGTATGTATCACCACTCGAAGGCCTTCTTCATAATTCAACAACATCATTTTCCTGTAAAAATAATTTAAATATCCCCAAAATAATTGCATATCAAATACTATAAAAATTAAAAAAGGCCAAGGCCAAAAATGAAGAGCACATTTACATAAGACTGCAATACAGCTATAAAAGAGTTGCAATGATATTGATCCATTTGAGTCGCTAAAATTTTCCTTCAAGAGTGATATTTCCTAAATGTAGATCCTAATTACCAACTGCCATTATATTGAACAATCTGAATATATTATAACATGTACTTCATTCACTGTATGCTACATGGTGCATAGAAGGCTTATACAACGTTACAATACCATTTTAGTGCTCTTGCAGTATTATAAATGGCTCTAAAATTAGGATTTTGTAATTCTTAGTTAATGACAAGTATTATGCTGGGTCTATTGGCTATAGTGGGGGCCTGTCTAAAGCCTTAGTTTTGCTTTAAAACTCATATTGATTATTTGAAGAATCAATTACACATATATAAATTTCAGGGACTCTAATCTCTCCATTAAAAGATTTTAGCTTCCTGGAGAATAGGGCTTTCAAATAATTGACTAATGTATTGTCTATGAATTCTCCATTGATATAATTCCATCATTTATTTTTAAAGACATTTTATAAAAGCATTTGTCATTTTAAATAGTTAGTCTAATTTCAACAGTGTGCATTTAATATATTCCATTTTAAAATGTACCCTGATATGCGATTATTTCCACAATTTGAAATGTGATTCTGCTATGGCCACCCACTTAAAAAATTGCTAAGTAAATCTAATAGTCACATGCTCTTTTTGTAAGCTTGTTTTTGTGAACACTTAAAAAAGTAATTAAATCACCATAGATTCTAAACAGAAAATGTCCGATATTGTCCTGATGTTTTCCTCCAAACAGTTAGGTTGCCTTAGAAACTGGCACCTGAGAATCAAAATGTTCTGAAATAAAAATATACCTAGTCATATAACTGACTCACTGCATGATTATACATGGTTCTGCTAGTGTTATAAATATTTATAGTTTAGAAATTAAAGCAGAAACTTCATTAGAGTATGCTTCATATGCTGCAAAATACAGCAAACAGTAAAGCCTAAAATAATAATAAAACAATACTATCTGGGAAAATTGTTTTAGAAAATATTAATTACCAACTTGTAACAAAATATGCAGCAACCGTACAAATTTTATTTTAACAACACCTAATTTTCCTTCAAATTTGGCAGGCACTCACCCTTTTAATGTTCTGAAAAGCACTTAAGGTTTGGCTTTTCTCCTAAGCACTGGGATAGGATGGGGTTTTTTTTCTTTTAACAACCCTGTAATCCCTTGCATCGGGGTGAAGTTGGGGCAACTGAATGAAGCTGAGCATTTACTGGCCAGATTCCCTCCCTTACGCCTACGTGGAGTTCACACCAGATATTTTCTCTTCACGCCGAGAGGGAGAAATATCTGCTGCTACCTAAGATCGAACTCACAGCTTCCCGATTGTGAGGCGAGAGCTCCACCTCTGGGCCACCATGCCACTCGGGATAGGATGAGATGAAATTGTGGGCTGCATGTGAAAGTTTAGCTATGGTGCCAGATTTTGATTTGGTTTAACTGCATCCCCATAGTCATGTGATCGAAATTTGAGAGCTTGGCAATTGGCATGTATTTATGACAGTTGCACTCTCCCAGAGTCATGTAATCATCATTTGTAACCTTCCCAATGGCATTCAACAAGCAAAGTCAATGGGGTAAATCAGATTTGCTTAATGACCATAGAATTCACTTAACAACTGAAGTGAGTTGTTTAACTGTGGCAAAAAATCTTGTAAAATGGAGCAAAACTCACTTAACTGCCTTACCTAGCAATGGAAATTTTGGGCTCAACTGTGGTCGTATGTCAAGAACTATCTTACCTATAATAAATGTTTTAAGTAAATAAAAAAATAAACATGAATATCACTAGGCTTTACTTAACAAAAAGGAATTTGTTTGCTAAATTTAATCCCTCAAAACATATTTTATTATACAAACTCCTTATCTGGTGAATATTGTTAGAAGTCATAGTACCACGTAGAGAATATAAAATTGTGAATCCTAGTCAGTAATGTCTGTGGACCAATGTATAAAGATGACAGAATAGGTCTTATACACTTCACAAACTATTTGTAAAAAGTGCTTTGGATCTTGCAAAAGTGGATCACCACTCTGCTATTCATTAAAACAAACCCATCCTTTTCAGGCTTTTGTGAACGCCTGAGAAGAAAACCCATTTTTAAAACAAAACCCACTCATTAAAGCCCTTCTTCTGATACATTTTCAAAGTATCCATGGTTGTAAGACCCTGTATGTAACTGTATGTACAAATGTAACTGGGCCCCAGGTGTGTTGTGGCCCACCAGCAGCCAGCAGAGCTGGTGGCAGACTCAGACAGTGAGGAGGTTGGGAACATGGGGCCAGTCCTGGAGTTGGGGAAGGCTCTGATGAGTGCTCTGCATCAGAGGCAGAGACGGGGCCAGGATCATCCGATAGTTATCAGCTGCCTTCGGAGTCGGATATCAGTGTGGCAGAAGAACAGCTGGAGCCTGTTCCAGATGTGCGCATGCGCAGAGCTGTCAGGAGAAGAGAACAGCTAAGGAACAAGGGCCGACTCGGGAGTAAAACAGAGGTGAACAGTGAATGGCCCCTCCCATAGGGAATAAAGAGGAGCGAAGGGGAGGGGAATTTGCAAGAGACAATTAGTTCAATTCATTAGGGTGAAGATCTGTTCCTGGCTTCTTGCCAAGTAATTGCTGCTACAGCATGGCGTTTGGAAGATATTGGCTTGGCAACTCTACAAGCCTGATGAAGGTCTGCAGTTGTGAAATCTCATGAAAGACTGTTTGCCGGGACTTTGCTGGAGAGGAATTCCCTTTAACCTAAATAAAAGAGGTTTTATCGGGACGAGGAGTCTGCTTCATGATCTTGGGAGGCCTAGGTTAGAACAGGGTGCATCTGACACAAAGCACATCAAAATTAAAATGCATCTGAAGACAATCTATGAGCGTGAATTATTTTATATAAACCATTATTATAATTGACATACTAGTTTCAACACTAAAAGAGTTGAGATTTATAAGATTGAACCTTTTATTATAAGCCCATCACCTTATAATAAAGCATTTTCCTTTCCAGGAGAAAGGAATATATTGATCCCATATATTGATAACACTCTCAAGCAACCTTCACCAAGTGTAGCTAGTTCTGAGAATTCTGGAAGGGGAATGCTAAATGAATTAGGTTTATTAATTCAAAGAGCACTCAGTTTACCCTAAAACAATATTTTGTAAAGCAAAAGAGGTGGAGAAAACAAATAGTGAGGAGAGATAATTGGTATACCAAGATAATTGGCATTTTATTTGTATTTTCTCAGTACTCAAACACAACAACATGATTGTAATTATTTCTACAATCACAGTGGCATTTATCAAAGTAATATAATTACTGCAAGATATTTCTATAGCAGACATTCAGCATTTATGATAAATTACTTACGTGTGGTGGGTTCCAAAGGCAATATCCAATTTTGCCTACAATAAGAACATTGTTTAAAAATATTTTTTTCAGTATATGGCACCTGTCATTATATGGAAACAATAGTAAAAATACTTTTTTTTGCTTTATATTGATGCACTCTGGTGGCTGCTGCACAAACTGCACATTAGACCTCTTATAACTAATACTACACGATATAATCTTTGATTTAAAGATACTTCACAGATCATAAACAATAAATCGTTGCACATTTGTTTTAAATTTCTCAGATTGTATCTCAACGCCATTGTCATCCAGATGAGCTGAAGCTGCAATTTCCAATGTTCCCAGTAAACATAGTCATATATACTGGGAATTTTGAAAATTACAGTCCTAATATAGACAAATAAAATGCCAGGTTAGGGAAGGTTTAAGTAGAACATTATGTTTATACATACATGTTCATATACAGTCAGGTCCAGAAATATTGGGACATCGACACAATTCTAACATCTTTGGCTCTATGCACCACCACAATGGAGTTGGAATGAAACAAACACAATGTGCGTTAACTGCAGACTGTCAGCTTTAATTTGAGGGTATGTATATCCAACTCAGGTGAACGGTGTAGGACTTACAGCAGTTTGTATATGTGCCTCCCACTTGTTAAGGGACCAAAAGTAATGGGATAATATATATATATTGACAAATACACACACACACACACACACACATGTTCATATATATTCATCTATCTATCTATCTATCTATCTATCTATCTATCTATCTATCTATCTATCAGAATTCTTTATTGGCCAAGTGTGATTGGACACACAAGGAATTTGTCTTTGGTGTATGCTCTCCATGTACATAAAAAGAAAAGATACATACACACACACACATATTTGTTTTCTGAGGTTTTCGCGGGTCTTTGTATGTAGGTCTTTGGTTTTTCGGGTTTTCTCCCGCGTAACATTGGGAGTGTCTTGCCGACGTTTCAACGAAGTCTCATTCGTCATCTTCAGGCTGGTGTTTTCGGCTTCGTGCTTCTAGGAGCAATGTTCACACAAAGCTGCGATCATACATTGCTCCTAGAAGCACGAAGCCGAAAACACCAGCCTGAAGATGACGAATGAGACTTTGTCGAAATGTCGCCAAGACACTCCCAATTTTACGCGGGAGGAAACCCGAAAAACCAAAGACCTACATACACACACACGCACACACACACACACATATATATACACACACACGTACATATGTTAATTTTTTAGGAAACAGAAGTAATAACAGCTTTACATGATCACATTAATACACAGAAAAAAAGTTGAACATGAAAACATTGGAGGGGGTAAGTTTTTGAGCATGCTTGCTAGATGATGAATTTATAGTATCAGGTTAGAGTACTACAGGTAGTCCTTGACTTACAACAGTTCATTTAGTGACCATTCAAAGTTACAATGGCACTGAAAAAAGAGACTTCTGTTTTTCACAATTATGACCATTGCAGCATCCCCAAGACCACACGATCAAAATTCAGACGCTTGCCAACTGATTCATATTTTTGACAATTTTAGTGTCCTGGGGTCATGCAATCCCCTTTTGTGACCTTCTGACAAGCAAAGTCAATTGGGAAGCCAAATTCACTTAACCATGTTCCTAACTTAACAACTGTAGTGATTCACTTAACAACGGTGGCCAGAAAAGTCGTAAAATGGGGCAAAATTCACTTAACAATTGAAATTTTGGGCTCAATTGTGGTTGTAAGTTGAGGGCTACCTGTGTATACTTTTGGTTAATGTCGTGATAATAAAAGTGATTACCTGGCATAAACGAACATTTTTATAAGGGTGAGCATCTTCATGTAGCTCAGCCTTGGATTCTCGCTTCTCTCCATGGACTATTAATAAAGGTTTGTCCCTAAGTTTAAATATATATATATATATATATAAATTCACTTGCACAAGCTTCTAATTATTATTTATTTGAAACAGCTTAATTGTCTTAAAATTATTTTGAGCTACATTCTCAAGGATAATTATGAAATGTTTTATTCACACTTTTTTCCCTTCCACCTTAAAAATGTAACCTGCATTCACAGCAGCATGGGAAGGTCAACTTTATCTTCCCACTTCCAAAAACGATAGCCTCTAACATTGTATAATTAGGTAGTTATTCCTGGAAAGCAAATGCAAGTATGAAGAAAGCTCTTATGCACTGCAAGCACAAAATAAGGTAGGGTATCCTCCCTTTCCCACAAGGATTCTGAAAGAAATTTGTAACCACACTTCAGTTTCCCTTCCATTTGTCTTCATCCCCACCTTCATATATGTGATGACTTAAGGAGGACAGCACAATTCAGCACCACACAATGTAAAGAAGATTGGTAGGAAAAATTAAAGAGGATAAAAATGAACAGATGTATTTCCTTATAGAATTCAGGGGGATTCTATGTATTTTATGTGTTTTATTCTGTGCCTGTTCACCGCCCTGAGTCCTTCGGGAGTAGGGCAGTATACAAATTAAATAAAATGAAAAATGAAATGAAAATGAGGGAAAAGAGGTTGCCTTTTCTATGTATTGCTCAACTTTATAAATAGACCGGAGAAACTTATTTCACAATGCATTGGGATTACATCACCAGAATTTTCAATCATATCTATCAGCCAATACTGGCTAAGATTTCTTGTATCTGAATACCTAGTAGGCATGTAGCAGACAATCTCTGGGTTATATCGCCCTTGAATAACGTAATTTGAACATGACACAAAGAGTTATGAAAATAACACCTGCCATTTTGTGCACAAGGCGCAATCCAAGAAGCCTAGAAGTCAACATAAGCTCTCTAGAACAGAATTCTTACATAAAGCAGAGACTACTGTACATGTAAATGCTACCTTTCTACCAGAAAACACCAAAAACATCTATTGCTTCAATGTGATTATTTTAAATTAATTCAGTAGATATTATCATAGTATTATCAATGAAGATTATGGATTATTTAACAAGAGAAAATATTTTTATAAATACAACGGAAACATGTTATATTTTTAAATAAAAGTTATGTTAAGAATTAAAGTTCTTCAGTGCAAAACTATGTTTTCTCTTTGTTTTCTCTAAAGAGTGACATCTTCTAATGAAAGATCGATACTGTTGCTATATCCTTAAACTAATTTCTCTTATCCAATGTAGCAAATAACACAATCTCACAATACTATCCACAACAGTAAATTTAGCACAGATGAATTAGAAATACAAAATGGAAGCTGAAATTAAATATTGATACTCTTTTATGTACCTGAATTCCTTTGGATATTGTTGGACCAGCCATTCCACATCTATACAATAATTAAACTTTGTCATGGGGAAAAAACAAAAATAGTTTTTAGAAATCAAAAGGGAAGGGAATGCAATATTATGCCTATGAATGATAGCAGGTTAGAAGTTGTACCTATATTTATACAGATTTGTATGCTGCCTTATCCATAAAACACAAACATTATAATATATTAGAAAATTAACAAATGCCATTCTATACAATGTAAATACAGTTGCAAAATTTAAGCCAGGATTTTGGTAGATCATAGTTTCTCCTAATTGAGCCTAATTACACACATTCTATTAATTTATGCATGGATATTCTCTCAAGAATAAACAGCTAATTAAGCAAGCAATTTTCCAAACTGTTGGTCCCAACTTATATTACTTAACAGCAAGTGTGATAAATCTGGCTGTATTTTTAATGTACAATCTTGATTTGCTGGAGAATAATAAATCTGGTTTCCTAAGAAAATTTAAAAACATATGAAATATATCATAATTAGTTGGTTAAACTTTTGTACCCAGAGATCCTGACAAGCACCATAGAGCGGGACTACAATAGTAGTTCTTAAGTTAAAACATTACATATGTTGACTTATCCCCCCCGGATAATAGATTTCTAATGAACATGTAACTAAATTCATAAATGTATTAATATAAATTGATATGGATATTTATTCTTTAATACCATTAAAATAAAAAGTAAATCACATGCACACACAATTTCATGTCTTTTAGTACGACCACCTATTTTGTGATATTGGTCTTAATAAAATTATCATTTTACCATGGCTCTTGGGCCTTTTTAATATACAGAGCTATTTTAATTGTACATTTCCAAAAGACTATTCTGAATTTTGAGACTACCACAGAAAAAATGATCTCTATTTTATATTAAAAGGACAGTAAATAAAATGTACCTGAGCAGAAGATACAAGAGTTCCAAAAAGAGGAGATAAAATATCTGTTATAAGAAAAAAAAGATGTATTTAAGTACAGCAAGCACATCTGAAATGGTAATAATTTTTTTTAGCAATTTCAAGCAACTAATCCTAGATTTTGCCCAGATCAGGTTCATACATTACAGGAAACCCAAACCAACAAACTTGATGAGTTATACCATGACCATATAGCAGGAAAACAATGTTTAACATGCTGTGTGAGTGTAACCAGCTATTTTTATTTACATTACTTAAACCATCATTTAATATATTTTGTATATGTAATTTGCATGTTATATGCAGATATATTCAATTACAACATAAACAGCGTCCCTCACTATAGCCATCTGAAAGCAGCTAGGTCTATTTTCAACTACTGGTAATTGCAATATTCTGGTTTATCCAAATTAGGAAAAAATGTAGCTTCTTTACATTTCTTGATTTATTTAAACAAAATAAAATTGTTGGTTCAACCTAATTACAATGTTTAGTATCTTAATAAATACTTTTTTAAAAAGATGACTTACAAAAACAAGCCATCACAGATATCAAACAACATATAGCAATTCTATTATTTATTATTTTCAATTGAGTTCATTTATATTTTACAATGTGAGTCATAAAGCACAGAAAAATTTAATCTTCTGGGTCTTTTGGCCATAAATATAATTGATTGGTTGAAGCCAATTTGGTAATTATGTAAGAAATTCTTAAGCTCTTCTGGGTCAGAAGGCACATTTTGCAGAATCCACCAATTTAGCTTTTAAGAATATCTTTGGGGTCTATGTGGAGCCCAGAGGCATTGCTGAAAATGCAGACTATCATTGAGGTTTATGTTCTTCAGCATGCTAGTTTCCCATTCGTTTTTTATAAATTAATCTTTTTTTTAAAAAAATTAACAAATAGGGAGTTTGAGCAGGAGGCAAAGTTTTCCTAGGTAATGTTAGGCCTCGGGTTGTTACTGCATTACATTGCTTATATGCCAACTACAACATGTATATAATTATTTTAGGAAAAAAAAGCATCTATCACATTTTCCTTTTTTTGCCTTTGATATTGCTTACCTTTTATATGAAGGGCTCCAGAATTGTACTTTGACTTAATTCCTTTGACTTTAGTGAGGAAGAATCTGAAAGGGTTCTGCCCATTCAACAGATCCCATGTGTCCTGCACTTCAGATGGCTCTGCAGACTTGTGACTTGATGAAATCTTACAGGATGTCGGTAGCTCCGTGGACGTACCACTCTCTGCTTTTCTGACTGTAGTTATTGCATCTCTATTTCCACTTGAGGTTTTAAGATCCTCATCTTCACTACTGGAAAGACACCAGCCAAAGTCTTCCCGGGAAAATTTCTGATCTGAAGCCGCCTCCTGTGGAAAGTTTCCAGCTACATATTTCAGAGGAGACATTTTTCTCTTTTGAGCAGCTTTCCTTGCCTCTGAGTGAGAGTGGCCACTCTTTTTACTTTCCTGGCCTGTCTGCTTCACAGAGGTAGAAGGCTTCTCAGAATCAGCTAACTCATCTTCACTACTGGACAATGTCCATTTCCCATGCTGACTTTCCTGAGACATGATATCCTATATATCAAGGAGAAAAAAAGGGGACAGATCTCCAGGAAAATCCAAAGGAATGAGGAAATTTACTACTCCCACCTTCTCATAGTGCAGAAGCCCCTTCGGTCAATTAGCTCTCATGCTGTGCCTTCAGCTTTCACACATTCCCATTCAGGGGCACCCAAAGAGAATTCAGCTGTATTTGGTTCTCTATACGCTCCCTGCCCTCCGTTCCTAAATAAGTCTGTAGCAGGCAAACTCGTTTTTTATCCTTATAGTTCACTATATCGAGTAAACCATAATCGATATAAAACAGGTTAATAAAATACGCTGGGCAGGAGACAGTACATGAAGATAATTCAATGTTCCGAATTTAGTGGCTGTAAATCGTTCCCCACTTCTATATACTTAAATCCATCGTGAGCCACGTCGTAACAGCGAGCGGAAAATGATCGCGGGGACTTGTTCATATAAGAGAGAAGGAAGGGAAGCGCTGCCCACTAGAAGTCAAACCTGAACAAGCATTAATGTGGAAGAAAAGAAACAGAAAATTCACTCCCCAAAACACCCCAGGAGGGAATTTCTTCCTCTCTGGTGGCTTCTGCGAGTGAACTGCAGTCTAGCAGCGAAACAGCTTAAATTAAAAACAGAAAAAGCCGCTCTAGGGAAACAAACTTCCTCTTCCGGGTAAAGCGTCCTCCCCTTCCCTTGATTGACATCCTCGTCGCTACCAATGATTGGGCCGTTTATCAAGAACTAAGTACGGAGGTCTTCAAACTTGGCAGCTTTAAAACTTGTGGACTTCAACTCCCAGAATTCTCCAGCTAGCTATGGAGAATTCTGGGAGTTGAAGTCCACAAGTCTTAAAGCTGCCCAGTTTGAAGACCCTCTGCACTAAGACTACGAACTATCAGTTTGTTCCCGCCCGATGCCTCCAATGGGACTTTCTCACGCATTTTGATCGCCAAGAGGAAGTTGAGGGAGGGCGTCGCTCCGTTGCTAAGGGAAGCTTCATTGAGAGTTGGCGGTGCTTCTGCTGTTGGCAATGTGCGCGGCTCCTAAAGAAGCGGCGAAATCCAAAAACTGCCCAGCCGAGAAGTACCGCAAGAAGCGATGGGTTAAAGTAGGTAGTTTAAATGGGACTTTTATTATCATCGATGTCCCTGTATTTTCTCGTCTCGTCTGAAAAATCCCCCAATTGCTAAAGACCCCCAACCCCACCAATGCAACCTGCGAAGGATTTATTTATTTATTTGTTTGTTTGTTTGTTTATTGGTTCGATTTATATGCCGCCCTTCTCCAGAGACTCAGGGCGGCTTACAATGCGTTAACCAATAGCCTTCATGCTTTTCTATATACCTGCTTAGTAGGGCTTTCGCCCCCCCCCAAAGTGGTGTTCTTTTTTATACAAAGTCAGCTTATTGCCCCCATAATCCGGGTCCTCATTTTACCTACCTCGAAAGGATGGAAGGTTGAGTCAACCTTGAGCTGGTGAGATTTAAACTTGCAGTAATTGCAGGCAGCTGGTGCTACTTAACAGCACTTTAGTCTGCTGCGCCACCAAGGCTCTTCAATGAAGAATGTAGGCAGATGTAGGGTCTCCTGTTTGGGCAGGAGGTTGGACTCGATGACCTGCAAGGTCCCTTCCTACTCTATTAATCTGTTGGCGTTTAGTCATGCCGGCCACATGACCACGGAGACGTCTTTGGACAGGGCTGGCTCTTCGGCTTTGAAATGGAGATGAGCACCGCCCCATAGAGTTGGGAAGGACTAGCACATATGTGTGAGGGGAACCTTTACTTTTATCTTTTATGTTTCCAAGTGCAATACGAACTGCTGGTTCTCCCCTGGAAAGCCTGATGTGGAGCAGGAGTAGATAAATTGTGGGACTGCCTTTCCCCAGTTATTTTTGCCTGCTCCATCAAATCCAGTAAGAGAGGCGTGCTTGAAAGATGTGACCAAAAGTATGCCAACTGTGTCAGATTAACAGATTATAACACAGTAGGAAGGGACCTTGGAGGTTTTCTAGTCTAACCCCTCTGCTCAAGCAGCAAATCCTTAGCATTTTGTGGTTTTCCAATCTCTTCTTAAAAACCTCCAGTGATGGAGTGCCCACAACTTCTGAAGGCAAGCTTTCTTGATTAGTTTCCATCTGTTGCTTATTGTTCTGGCTTAACGTGCTTTGGAAAATATCTTAACTCCTTCTTTGAGGCAGCCTCTTAGATACTGGAACACTGCTATCATGTCATCCCTAGTCCTTATTTTCATTAAATTAGACATACCCAATTCCTGCAATTAGGAGGAATACATGGGAAAAAATAGGCAGAAGCCATGGGGAAAAATAGTCCCTCAAATAACAGAGCCTAAGGCATAAAAGTTCTCAGTCCACGTACTGCTGGAGCCTAGCTTGTAGGATTTTGAGCATAACTTTACTAATAATCCCAAAGCCACTAGTTGGTCCAGAAGACCTCATGATTGAGAGATCAACCAGGACAGATGCATCACCAAAGATCATCAAGTGCTGTTTATAGTACTATGTGATACCATGGGCATACACCATATGCTGAATGAACTTTAATCTGAATTAATGTACATTTTAGACATGCATTATGCCTGGAAGATGGGGATTTTTAAAGTTTTATTCTAGCCAGATAGATTGTTTATGGATTGTACTAATATTGGCATTAAAATTTCAATGAAAGTTAGAATTAGATCCATTTTTCCTAGTTGTGTGGAATGTGATAATTGCTTTATGCTCACTTCCAAAAGTCTTATAATCTCTAATGTATTTTATAATTGATATCTAGAATTTAAAATAACAGAACTTATTGGTTGTTCCCTTTAATCATTATCCAAAGATTCTGAAGTAGCTTTGGTGTGTTTTCAGGACCTGATAATTTGTTCATGGATTTCATTAACAGTTTTCTTCACAAAGTGCTTCTAGTGATCATCAGGAGGCAATTTATCATTTTTCTTTTTCTCTTTGGGTTATTTTAAAGGCATGTTGCTGCATGATTCTGTAACTAAAAGAGGCCGAGATCTTTATTTAGTGAGAAATATAGAAATATAACATTACTAGATTCATGTGTATTTTCTCTAACCTCTTTCATATACATTCAAAGAATATCAAAGTATTTCTGAACTGCATTCGTACTATTATCCAATTAAGGATTGCTTTGACATTTTCTTATTTTGTGACTATTTTAGCAGCTGCTGAAAAAAAAAGGTATAATTTTTCGAGGAAAGATATTCAAATTGTGAATCTTCATTATAAACTCTTTTTTATTGGTCTTAAATGTTGGGATTGACAAATTCACTGCATTATTAGCTTTGTTAAAAAAGTAATCTCAAGTGTGGAAGACAACAGAGTTAAAAAGGAAGCTCAAGAGAGTAGGAAGAGGCAGGAAAAGAGGTAAATAGTTTGGCACTGGACTGGCCAGTTATATCTTATGTATACCCTGTGTTGGGTCATTTGTTAAACATTCGTAAGTAATTATTTTACTATGTCTAGATTATTGTCTATCTGATAAAGGCATGATCTGTTTTTGACAAACTCATGTTGGTTTCTGATTATAACTTTGCTTTTTTTTTTTTTTTTGCACTGCTTTTTTGCCCACCCCTGGTCATTTGGTTTCTCTGTTTGGATAAGGAAATATTTCTGAAACAATAACCCACAGAACAGGGGTTGTCTGATGTATACATAGCATTATACATTACAGACAATAAAATTTCAAATTTTAAATTGGATAGTCATAAAACCATCTTGCAAACTAACAATTTCCTTTACAAATAAATGAATTTAAAATTATGATGAAATAACTATGTTGCTTTGATGCATAAACATACACATACAATTGGGAACAGCTTCTGAAGCAGTTACTAAGACTAAAAAGACTTTGTTGCTTTAAAAGTTTTAACACCATGTTATTGTATGCTCTGAAGTTCATTTTGAAGGATTTTCACAGCTCTCGTATACATCAGGATAAGTAATGGTGAGCTTTTAAAATCCTAATTATCTTTATTTTTTATTTAGGCTTTTGAGGCATGTGATGAAAACAACAAAGGATACTTAAACCGAGAAGACTATAAAGTTGCTATAGTGATGCTATTTGGCTATAAGCCCTCAAAGGTACCATTTATTTCTTATATTGAGGATTGGCTTATTGTTTCAATATCTTGAACACAAGACATTTAATAATCTCTATTAATATGAAGTTTTCAAAGAACATTTTTTTTTCAGAATTATTTAAAAATATAAAACATTTGGTTCTTACTATCTTTTTGAGATATTGCAGATAGATTTTTCACTTTCCCTTGTTCTAAGCTTCAGCCTCCCAAAGTTCGTAGAATTCAGTAGGTGTACCCAGTGTAACCCTTATTATAAGCTTTTTAGTAGGGAGTAGTGGTGGGTTTCTACCAGTTCACCCCGGTTTGGGTGAACCAGTAGTGGCAGCGGTGGGAGGCTCCGCCCACCCGCCTGGACGTCATTATGGATGCTGTGCGCATGTGCAGAAGCGCTGTGTGTGAGCAAGGCAAGCGCGCCTGCACTCTCACAGTTCCGAACCGGTAGCGAAGGTAAGTGAAAACCACTACTGATAGGGAGAGAACACAAACTCTATATGGCACCACAAAGAGTAAAGAGACACTTCCCTGCCTCTCAAAGGTGGTGGAAGCAATCTGGTTTACAGATCAAAAGGACTGCTTCTGTATCAAAGGTGCTTTTTTCAAAAGGCAATTGGACTGGTTTTTTTCTTGACAAAAAAGAAAAAGACAACTGATGAAGCTTCTTGGATGAGAAGCGAAGCGTCTTCTTTTTCCTTAAGAAAAAAACAGTTCAGGTACCTTTTGCAAAGCACCTTTGAGACAACCGATGACCTGGATGGCTTAAAATCCCCATAGACAGACTGCTTCTGTACTTTAAAATGCCATTTAGCTTTACTGCAATATCATCTATGGTAAATTCAGATTTGTTTGGCTTTTATTCCACTGTTGTCACTATAACTATACAGGGTTTTTCCCTCTGTGTTAAATGAAAAGACTGTTATGCTGACAAATATGTTACAGTGTTGAGTGCAAATATCAGTTATCATGAGACAAATTGTGCTAAGAGAAGAATGTTCTTGCTGTATGATTTGTGTTCACTCCTGTATATAAATTTAAAAGACTGAACATCTGATGGTTTCAGCCAATGGGAAAATGTCTTAGAATATCGTGTAAGCATTTGTCTTTTACTGGACTTAAAGTCCAATCTCAGGCTAGGTTATTTTCAATTACATTGACTAGACAAAAGCTGATTAAATTCTAATATTGGGATTTCCAACTGAATCCTAGTATTGTGTAATTCATGAGCTGAAGGCTGGTTTGGAGGAGTATTGAGGTTAAAAGCGCAACTCATAGAGGGAAAAAAAAGCAGAAATAATTCCCAGATTCAAAAAATCAGCGTGAAGCATTGTGGTTTGGGACTAACGTGGGTGGATCAGAATTCTGAGGAGGTAATGCCAAAAGCTTTTGGTGTAACAGATATTAGGACAGGGTTGGTGAACTTTTTCGGCACTGAGGGCCAAAATGGCTGCTCTTCTAGTTTCCGGTGCACGCATACGCACCAGCCACCTGATCTTCTAGTTTCTGGCGCGCATGTGTGCAAAACTTG